AATATGCAATTGCAATTAGCGGTTTTTGAGTTCTGCCTCCCAGAAGGCAAGATTGAGTTGAATGCGTCACCGCCCCTACTAGTAGCTTCCACACGAACTCCGCCGAGTAGATACTGAGTAAATACTGCGCACTGCAGCGGTTATGTCAGGTTGGGTTTCCTCGTTTCATTATGAATCTAACAATACAACATGAGTGACGATACCTGAGATACAGGCGGTGACAGGTGATGCGCGCGCTCCGGCCATTGGTCAACGACCTGACCTTGGCCTACTTGGAGGGGATTTGTCGATGGTATGCTCATCTGGTATCATTCCATCCATAACGAAACTAAGAAAGTTCTACAAACATATTTATGATAACCCAACCTAACATAACCACCGCAGCACGCTGTATAAGGGTGGCCTCCGGATAATATCAAAGTAGCATTAATACCGTACTTTTACTCTTGGCACAATGGGTTCGGCGCATTCCACTAATGTACTGTTGAAAATTGTATGAAATAATTGATTCATATTTAAAAGTATCTTTTACTAACTAAACTAAATCTGTGTACAACTTGTAAGCAAATCAAATATAAACAATAACAATAATCACATAATAATGACATCGATCTGTCCACCTATCATCTACTATATCTATCTATACTATTATAAAGAAGAGGTGGTGTTTGTGTGTTTGTATGAGATAAACTATAAGCTACTGAACCGATTGGACTCAAATTGGACAAAAATCAAGCTACCGCTCCGAGGATTAGAACTACCCCCCACCTTCGATATTGAACTAGTATCTGCTCCACGGGCTTTCAAAATTCTGAGGTGAGGGATTTTTAACTTATTTAATACGCAAGCAGGTTTTTCTGTGACATTTACTCCTCCGAAACTACTAAACCGATTGGCATGTTTTTGGTGTCATTTGGAAAGAGCGTAACGTGAAGTTGTGCAGGAAACTTTCTTTTTAGGGAAATAATTAGGGTGAGGCCCTGGGGCCCTTTACGGGTTCATATTTCTCCATAAGATTCATGGGAAACAGACATTGTTATGTAACTCCAGCTGTTGTCAATAGTTAAAAACGAGAAGAATAACTTATGTTAATTGTAAACATTATGTAATTTACACAACTATGTGGTAGGTTTATTTATGCAATTGATTATTGAAATGAAGAAAAATTCTATAACCATAAGTTATAAAAATTATGTTATTGATATATTTTAATGTAAACAGTAGGGTAATTACAATGTAGGGCATACATTTTTGTAAAAATTTGATTGCTATTTGTTTAAAAATTCAATCTAGGTACTTAACAAGTGTTTGGATTAGGCAGTATGGACTTATGGTACATCTTCCCGTTGCGAATCATGGGCACAGCAGCTAGTTCCGTTTATTCACTAATTGTAAATAAATTATAACGTAAAGATATAATTGACAGTTGGTAGGAAGATGATTACACTAAACAGGTCGCCAATTGTTTTCAGATAACGTATTATCTCGTCACATTATGGTATTTGGTAAGTGACTGTTTAGGACAATTTTAAAGAAACGTGTCCAATATCATTCAAAACAGTGATTTGGATTGTTTTGTCTAAAAATCTTTCAAAAAGTATAATCCGACGACTAAATAAAATAAATTAATACAAGAAATAGAATAGTTTTATCAACAGCAGAATATTAGTTTGGTTCTCTTTTGTGATTACTACGTGAAATGAAAACAGTATTTAGGTTGGAAATTAAAGGACAATCGCGATCTCGCAACTACGGGAAAGTGAACTGACCTGAGTGACCCGACACCTCAATAACTGGAATGGTTGATGTGAAAGAAAAATCTAAGAAATTTCAGATTAAGTCCATTCGTAGAAACGTGCGAGGGGATTAACGGGACATCCCTGTATTCTGTTCCCTAATATTTCCTTTAAAGTTCCCAGTACTGACTGTTATGGGTTTGTTTATATTAAACAATTGGCCGAATACTTTGCACCAGGTGTCCACGTCTACATTTTACAACATGCATTTCGTTCACCTTTCCCAGTAATAATTCGCGGTTCGTTCCTGATTTTTTAATAATGAGGCATATTATGCTATTGTTCTAAATACATACGAGAGATATTCAAAAAGGCAAAAACAAAGAAAAAAGTTTTGAGGTAATAACAAGCCTATATTTTAATCAGGAAAGTGTTATCATCATGCCAAATTTCAGCCTAATCCCGATGTGCCCAATGAATTGTTATTGAGTGATTGAACCCCAAACAAACACACAAACATTCATTTGTAATATTAGTAAAGTAGCACTGTACTTCAACGTATGAATCAGGCCGTAACTTGAAATAAACGCTTAGGCCAGTTACATTTTTAACATCCAAATGTAATATTATTTCGCCAAACACCGTTGATCAGTTATTAAACGGAGGCAACTGGTACCAAAAGTCATTATCTTGCGAAAAAAAAACCAATTTGTTTTCAAACAAAAATCAGTTTAACAAAAATAAAGGACTTTGGCTTTGACTTTTTCAGGTTATAATCCTAAGTCAAATTTGTATCTAATCGTATAATGAAACTTCTTGATGCATAATTAAGGTTCAAATGAATCAGTAATATTATTTTAACCTATGTAGATACGATATCCTGCACATTGTGAAAATTGTTTAGTCGAGGATACATTTACACATAAACATCATCATTATTTAAATATTTAATTGGCCAACACAAATGTTGTGATTATTGTTTTGAAACTGCTACACATCCGATATCATCAAGTTTAAGGTGTCGTTGGATAGGTCGTGACATGTAAATTTGCCATAAAACAAAACACATTTGACATTCCATCAGGGCTCTGCCCCAGTGGCCTTCAGCCAATTGAAAGCGTCAATATACGTGATTCAATTTTTCATATCACATACGATTACTTAATATCAAACATTAGAAATGACAAAATAAATGTAAAAATAAACGGTATCAGCATTCTGAAACATACTTTCTCCCATAAGCTTGTTAACATCCTATATCATGGGAAAGCGGTGATAGTATATAGTTCAAAATCACAAAAGCTGAAATAACTTTTGGACCATAATTGTTACAGCAATGGGGTGTTGTACTATTTTTTTTAAAACATCATTCGTTTATGTTTATAATCCATACCGGGTCTCTTCTAGTACTCGTGGTCTAATCACAGAATACCGATAATTTCACCCGAATTACATTTTGAATTCAAGTGAATGCAATTTTCTTTGCGTCTTGCTTTCGCAATCACCATTATAAAATGGCACAAGACTACCCCTGACTATCGCCGGTTTAAATGTATAAAATGCATGCTTTTCACACGTATGTTGCGTGCGCACGTGGTGGTAGGTGCGCATAAAAACTTATATATATATATATATATATATTTATACGCCTAATGAAAAAAAAAATTGTTTATTCACTTTCAATTAAGTAAAATAACTATTCTATTTTTGTTTTTGGTATACGTTTTTATCATCTCATATTAATACGCGAGGACTGTGTTTTGTGAACGCTACTCCTCCTTTATTTGTGGACAAATTTCAACGTTTAAGGTGTTGGTGTTAAAGGATTCGGACCAATTTGTAGTTTTGCATTAAGGTTTTAGAATTTAAAAGTTCCTACCCTTAAGGGCGTGAGACCCTTTCAAATGTCGGGTTTTCACCATGTTAGTAATTGTATTACCATACCCACGTATTACCTATCAATCTTTCTTCCGAAAATAAACTAAAATGTCCAGATATGCTATTTAAGAGTTAGGTACATTAACTTTCTCTAAATTAACTGAATCAAAGTACAATATATTTAATGCTACAGAATATAAATCCAACAGATTTATTTATTGATAAATCCAACCGCGAGATGGTGGGTTGTCGAGGTGGCACGTTGTCGCCTATGAGCGAGGTGGCGCGTTGACGGCACCGAACACTGAGCGTACACGTCAACCCGCCACCTCGTAAAAGAGTGGTGGCGGGTTGACAGGGTGGCACGTTGTCGCCTACGTACGAGGTGGCGGGTTGCCAAAATCGAACATGGAGCTTCACGACAACCCACCACCTCTGATAAAAACTGGTGTTGGCGGGTTGTCGTGGTGGCATGTTGTCGTGGTGGCTCATTGACTTGAGTGTGTACGACAACCCGCCACCTCGGAAAATTGTGTGGTGGTGGGTTGTCGTGGTGGCCTGTTGTCGAGGTGGCGGGTTGACCTGTACGTACACGTCAACCCACCACCTCGTTTTTTTTGTGGTGGCGGGTTGACGCCTCTGACCAAAACACCGAGGTGGCGGTTTGACGTGGTGGCGCATTGACAGCGACCCAGACTAGACCTAGGGGTTGCGGCATTATCACTTAGATAAAATCCATTGGTGTTGGTGATTTGGCGGGATTTGAGGCCGGGACCTCTTGGACCGAAGTGTCCCGCGCTCTGCTCTAAACACTAGACCAGCATGAGAATATGGGCAAAAGGGAGAAATGATGAATGTGAAAGAAGAATTACATATATATATCTAGCAACAAGAAACAATGAAAGCAACTTCATGCTAGGCCTATAGAGGATGAGTTTAGTTCCAGCCTTATCACTTTAGATAAAATCCATTGGTGATTGCAGTATTTGGACCCGGGACTTCCACTCCCACTAGACCAGGTTAATCATCCCCTATATGATACTACTAGTACAGTATAACATATGCCCCTGGTCAAAGTAAATACTAAAGAGTACTGTGTTGTGTATTGTAAGTTTATATACTGTATTGAAATAAATAGTTAAATAAATGTAAGTTAAAAAATGAGCCTTATTTTGTCACTAGTTTATTTACATTAATTGAATCACATTAAAAAAATAACAGATGATTAAATTATTAAATGCATAGCATTTGAAACATAGAGATACAACAAGTACCTACCATCCTATGGTACACAAATCAATTCCTCTACTACTACTAGATCACTATTCACTGTGTGCCTGTTACCATAGTAACCAAGTTATTCAAACTTCACATGTGTGTTTTACCTTTCATTGGTGATAAGACTCAAATGTCAAAATGCCTATAGTTCTCAAGAATTTTTCTTGGAATCAAAGTGATAGTCTAGTTTTCATCCATGTACCATTAAAAGGAGTAGGTCTCAAAAATATTGATATATTTACTGCTGATAGATATCTAAAGGTAAGTTAAGGCAAGTTATGAAAATTTGTACTAGTTTTAGTTACATTCAGTGAAGGAAAATATGCAAATTTGAAATGTTGACCCACCCAACTATTCAATACTTAGCAGAGTACCTGGGGGTTGGCTTGGCTTTGCGTTTGCAATGGGAGAGGAATTAAACCATGGTTTAAGACAATTTGGTTTTTTTTTATTTACGCTATGCTAGTAAAGCACATCTACCCATAGCCATAACTACATCACACGCCCCAATAAGAGTTAAATACTCATTAAACTACTCTGTATAACACTTATTTAATGCATAATAAATAAGCTGTGTTGTATTCAGCTCTAAATGTACTAAAATATGTTTCATAACCACTAGATACACTCTCCTCCTCATTTGTTTGAAATCTGCCTATGGAAACCCATTGTGGAGGCTGAATCCAGTTGCAGCATTACAAATGGGGAAGCAATATTTAGTCTTGTCAAGCAAACAGCAGAAACATGGCCATGTATTGCTGCAGACATATCACGGCAAGAAGCAGTCAAAGTTAAACAAGAAGCAATAGAAGTAGCGCAGGCTAGGGCTGAGGAACGCCGCAAAGAGATTGCAGGTAGGCTAAAAATGTTTTCTTTATCTTTTTAAATGAGGATAGTCACAAAACTAAACACATTTTTTTCAGTTAGTTTATATTTTGTAAATTGGAGATTATATGAGGTTGTTTCCCTTGTCTGTGATATGACATACAAAATAAAATATAACTTCTGTAAACCTTTAAATTTGTATCATAATAGTAGTCACACATTTTAATTAATATACTGTATAATAAATTGTATATAGAAAATAACAGGATAGTTTAAATTTTCAAATGGATGAAAAACAAAATACCGTACTACATTTCTAACTAGTAACTATAGACAGCAATGATATTTTATAAAAATTTCATGAAAATGGGACAAAAATTACTCAAGTTATCACATTCACGGATTTGTATATACAGTAGGCCTATATAAATTTGAACGAATAGTGTTTTTGGCTTCTAGGGACATCAAAATGAAAATGTAAATCGGTCCCAGAGGCCTAGGTCTTACCATGCCACCTACGATAATAGCTACTTCCCTATAAGGGAAATCCGCTAAAAGAAAAAAAAAATAATAAGTAAAAAAAAAATGTTTTATGCTATTTTTGGAACTGTCCCAAATAATTTTTTTTTGGTTGCATAAATACACTTATCATAATTAATTGTTAACTACTTTAAATGTTGCAAAATGTTTTAGCTACAAAGGATAAACGCCAAAAAGAAGCAGTTAAAGAACAAATCCGTTTGAACACTGAAGAACGGGAACTAATAGAGAAAACGAGGGAATACGAGAAAACTTCAGCTCTAGCTCAGATGGGTTGGATAAAAAAAAGTGCAGTTCAAATAACAGAGCTTCCTGAAGAAAAACAAAAACATCTTAAGGCTGGTAAGCTATTAAAAGATCTTATACTCTTCTTCAGCCAATTTAAAATCCTTATTTCGCTTTGTATATATGTCTACAAAACAGAATGAACATTATCCTTACTTGTTTCCTTGACTATATTTTTTGTTTTTACAACAAATTAAATTACTCCATTTAGATACATAGGTATTTTAGAATTAATACACCTTATACATTTACAAGAAGTGTCAGGACCAGTTTAGGGGTAAGCAAAATAAGCAGTCGCGTAGGGTGCCAAGCAAAAGGCCCGATTGCTATAAAATCTCCCACGATCATGGGACATCATGGTCGTAGCCGGCAATTCTCAAAAATAATTAATTTTTGAAAATAAAAATTATTTTTTTCCTTCTGAAAATTGTTTTAGTACGAAACGCTGCACGCATTACGCAACCCAGTTTTGCTTAGGGCCTTAGAGTGCCTTATGGGGAATCCGGCACTGACTACCATATTTTAGGTATAGGTTTTTACTGGGGGGGGGGGGGCACGTGAATTATTGTTCGCCTGAAAAGGAATGCAGTGATTAAGCTACGAATTGGTGATTACTTGTCGATTGATTTACTGTTACGACATATGTGGGAAACGATGGCTGAACCCGTGAATTTAATCAGAGGACACAGCTTACCGCGAATCACAGGCTCAAAGAGCCAGCTTTGATGATTACTAACATTAATTAAACCATTTCTACTATGGAAATAACAGATCAAGTGACTGGACACAACGTGAACTATTTATTAACAAAATATTCATATGAACATGTCTACACTGGGAACTAAATTAGACATTGTTAACAACTGAACCAGCAAAAAATAATAATTACTGATATTTAGAGTGATTTAACATCTAACCACGGTACCTCACATGGGGCGTTACCCCCTATCCCGTCCCGTAGCAGTATGCCATTTTTCTTGTCAGAAGGCTGCGGCACGACAACGGGTGGTTCACTCGACTCACCTGATGTGGCTGCTGCGCATGCACATTGTCCTAGGTTTTACAATGGTCTGGCTTACTCTATTCATCTTCTCAGAAGGACATTTAAGTAGTTTTGTGGAGGCTGAGCTCTTCACAGGATAAATGTGTTGAACTGGCCCTGTGAAGTGTTTTATTAGGCTATTTGTATTGTTGGCTGATCATTTAATTGGTAGCCTGATTAAATTATTTAAATACTACAAATGTATAAGTGTATCAACTTGTGTAAAGGTGGAAAAGAAGACAAGAGTATATTCAAAGAGAAGATTTTGCCGGAGCGCAGAACCAGTTATCTCCCAGCACCGAGACAGCCAGCAGAAATCGCTGTTTCATTTACCCCTCGGGTTTTTCCTACACCCTGCCGTGAGTCAAAAATTGCAGAAGAACAAGAGGTAAGTTATGCTAAAATTTTGTTTGTACTTAAACTAATCTATATAAATAATAATAATACCCCCGCCGCAGCAAACCTGCAGACTAAACGAATTTCCATTTGCCTGATTGGATTTACAATGAAATATCTCCTAAACAATATCACATTTATTCCCTATCCATACAAGAACATTCTGTAGATGACCTCTTAAGTACAACATAAATCAACTGCAAACACTCAATATCAACAGTACCGTGGTGGCTAAGGAAACTCTCAACGATGCTGTTTTGAGTCCAGTGCTACATACAGGCCTTAAAATCGGGACAATCTGTTGAACAATACGGATTTCACGATAACGAGCTGTCCATTCAAGATGATTGTGTACTGAAGGGCTGGAAAGTCATGATACCTCAATCAATGTGCTTCGAGAACTACATGTAGCTCATTTAATATGTTTTCAATGAATATGGTGACCATACTAATTAGGTATTTTAAGCCAAGTATGAATGGAGTATGGAGAAGTATGAGTGGCGCGATCTTGTAATCTTGTTAGTGACTAAGGCTGACTTATTCCTTGGACACAGCTGTTAATTAATAGCCCATACAACTATAATGGCAACTAAGGGACCTACAGTTTATAGTGAAATCTGAACCACATTTTTGCCTTGGTATATACAAATTGGTCTAATTTTTAGGATAGTTCTGTGGATAGTCGTAGTACTCAATCGTGCGGACGTTAATCCACACCAGGGAGTATCGCATCTACAGTGCATGCCTATAAATATCCACAATTCGTAACCTCCTAGTTAGCTGGATTACAGGACGACGCCACCCATCCAGTTTTATTTAGGAGAAATAAAAATGAAGGGTTTAGCTCACAGTTTTTGCCGGTGGATAAATATAGACAAGGATATTGAAGAGATGGTAGCTGAATGTTGACAATACATTGAAAAATGCAACAACCCGAGAAAAACTGTCCATCCATCGGAACCACCTTCTAATCCATGGGAGAGGGTGCACATTGATTTTTTAGGGGCAACAGATGGCCAACAGTACCTGATATTAGTGGATGCCTTTAGTAAGTGGGTGGAGGTGATGCATACAAAAACAACTACAAGTACATGGACAGTCCAAGAATTACGGAAAATCTTCTCAACTTTTGGGTTTCCTCACATCTTAGTTTCAGATAATGGAAGACAGTTAGTTTCTCAAGAGTTCAAAAACTTCATGAACGAATGTGGGATTATTCACAGAACAACGGCACCATACCATCCAAACTCAAACGGCCAGGCTGAAAGAAACGTGCAGACTGTCAAGAAGGCGTTAAAATCCATGGAGGGAGAAAAGGGTACACTGCAAAATTGTGACGCTTGCGTCACAGCGGCGACGCATCAGACGGTAAAGATCAGCTGATCACTGGAGAACTGGGGAAGGGGTAGGAAGCGCAGAGACAGAGTAGTAGTTGTCTCCTGGAGTTTGAGTGTGTAGGCGACCTGGTCAACGAACGATAAGTTATCATAGGTTTATAATTAAATAAATATGTTCTAAATTTTTTCAGGAAGGGGGGAATCAAGGGGTTTAGGGAACTAGTAACTATTTTAGCTTTAAACTTTTGAACACACTCGTACCCAAAAGTATGAGTGGAAGTTTTCATTGTTCTTTTACTTATTAAATTAATTTAAGATCATTATTATTCAACTCAGAATGTCGCTCGCAAGACTAGATTGATTATATTGAGCCTTAACGATCCTATGAGTCCTGTACCGTTACTATAATTTATAGTAAGACGCTTCAAAATAAAATCCAAAGACCTCTAATGCAACTCAGTCAATCCTCAAATTCAACTGGTACATCAGCATACCACGTGGAAGGAGTGTACAAACAAACCTCACAATAATTGTTTCAACATTAGAACCGAACAAATATCAGAAGAAGGTAGTCCAAGTCGGTATAAAAAGGAAATTCAAAGTTGGAGATAAAGTGCAAGCGCAGGTATATGTCAATAGTGCGTCTAAGTTTTGGTATTCGGGCTATAACTAAAAAGCAAGGACATGTAATGTATGTAGTTCAGCTAGAAGATGGAGGAATATTAAGAAGACATGTTGACCAGCTGATTAAATTAGTAAATAAATGGAGGAGGTGTTAACATATGTTTTATTTACATTTTATTTCTAACATGTGTTCAAATTATTATTTTGTTTACTTGTTGAATTGTTTATGTTTACTTACAGATTGTGATTTAATAAAAACTTTCTTTCTATTTTCTTATACGAAATGTGAACTTTTATTAGTAAAATTAGTGGAATCAACAAGTAACAAACATGAATTCACTGGTTAACCTCTACCATAGACAAAAAGAATTAAATATTTACTCTATTTGTCTATGCCTCTACTTACTGTAGTTGACCTATTTATTTTTGTCCAGTGGTTGAGCAAACAAGCAGAGGCTAGACGCAGGACAGGGTTCGTGGCAGAAGATCTGCTACCTGAGGAACGAGATCCACTTTGGCTTTGTGACAAGGCACAGTAAGAAATCAACTTTAAGAGTATAAATACAATTAAAACATATTTTAATTACAGTAACCTTAAATAGTTTTTTAATTTAAATCTGTAATGGGGTGTCACAAATAACTTATTATTTTTATCAGAGCCAACTGCATTTGATTGTTTGTGTTAAATGGTTAGATATTGAAAAAAAAAAACTAATTCCACCTGCTTTAGAAAAATCATTCAGATTGTATCCAGATTTATAAGTAAATCTTCATCTTTGGTCATAAAAATATAGAATTTCATCAGCATTTAAATGAGTTTTTTTTTGTATTAGATAAAAATATCTGACTATCCAGATATCAGTAACATTCTTACTTCGATCTAAGCAATTTTAATTCCTTCTCTTGCCACATCGACCCATGTATTTAATCATCCTGTTCTTACTTGCTAATTCATTAACTTATGGGGTAGTTTTGCCTGGCCATATCGACCACATAAAGCTATGCATGTTTTTCGTGGATGGAATGAACCATAATTGTAGGAAATTTGATCACAAATCTTGGACATTTGCGGAACCAAATCCATAACCTAATCCAGCCTTGGTAACAAAGTATGCAAATGCGATGAGATGTGATGACACTGTTTTGTTTCCGAATGTTTTGTATGTAGTGAGGTTTAGATGTGTTGTTCGACCTAGCTACATGTGTACATCATAGTAAAAACCCTGTAGGCCTACACATTTTTTTTAAAATACCTGAATTGACATTAGTTCAACTACTTCACCAAAACCATAGATAAGACATACTCCGTAGTTAGTCTATTCCAAAACTTGAACACAGCTCTCATCCTCAACGTAAGTTACTCATCTATGACACAATTTTCAACCCGATTATCGAAAACCTTTATACCAATAAATGAATTTCTGTTGTTCTTTCTTGAATTCAAAAATAAATGGTGATTGAAAGTAGGAAAAAAAGGCAAGTGCCAACCTTACAATATATATAAGCTAACCCGATAAGGAATAATTATATGTTCCTTTTAAAATAATATGTCACACTTATTTCATAATTTAAAATTTTCTAAGAGCAATAAAGCATAGATTTTTGAACAAAACATTTAAAACGTATCATAAATTCATCATTTTTTTGAAACTACAAAAAACTTGCCATGCAGTGGAGAATCAATTTTAAATCATAAATAATAATGTAAACATTTAATTTTGACAGTTTCAGTAGACCTTTGAATACAATTGTAATATCAACAGCTGGTTCATTAAAAGTAGTGTAAAATTATCCATATGGTCATAATGTAAACAATTGCTGAGTGAACTTTAAAGGCCTCTGGGGCAGAGCCGCAAGGAAATTTACCTCGTTTCTCTTTTGAGGGCTCACCTACAGACCAATACCTTTCTTTAGACACCCCTACCAAGTTTCTACACCCAGCCGTTCTCTCAAATTAGCTGTGACAAAAACCCCGTTTTCCTCCATAAGAATAACATGGGATGGGGCTTTAAAGGCCACTGGGGCAGAGCCCCGAGGGAATTTACCACTTTTCTCTTTTGATGGCTCATCTACAGACCAAGACCTTTCTTTAGACACCCCTACCGAGTTTCTACGCCCAGCCGTTCTCTCAAAATAGCTATGACAAAGAAAAACAGTTTCAAATTAATATATAGATTTTTAATCAGAGCCAACTGCATTTGATTGTTTGTGTTAAATGGTTAGATATTGAAGAGTTTTACATAGTTGCATTATTGCTCTAGGCCTAGTTATCATTTTTATAAAAACGACTATCATAGTATGAGTAACTGATATATATCTCACCTTTCTCCACTGCAAGTACAATAAAAATATTTTTTTTGCATTAGTAAAGTTATAACAATTTTTAAACTTAAATTTCCAAAAATAAAATACAATTTTTTTTCAAATTGCATTATTTTTTAACTTTATTTACGTTTACTTAGATTGGTGTCAATTGTTTGGGTTAAAAAGTGTATAGAAACTCTGAGAATTGGATTTTTTAGTTTTGCCTCAAAGTTCATCACTAAAGCAATAAAGACTTATCAGATGAAAGTAACAAATCACTAAACCACTGAAGTAAATAAATATCATCACACATGGTATTAACGCTTTATCATGGTTTCCACTAGGAGTTTCTACGATGTAGGCAACTACCTAGGAGCCGTAAGTGCGTACTCTCACGCTCTTACACTCAACAGTCACATGTACGAGATCTACGCTGGACGAGCAAACGCTCATTTGAAACTTGGCAACTTCAACAAGGCTGTGATAGACTCTTCTAAGGTACTGAGTGTTTAAAAACAATTTTTTGGATAGCTGATAAGTAAAACGTTACCGATTCGTTAGGTCTATTGGTTTTTTTTCTCTGGAAACTATGTTGAGCCTTGTTGATTACAATCAGGATTCGATTTGACATGGAACGCAGTGAATGGGTGATCCAGGGCTTATCTCTTCAGAGAACAAATTTTAAAATTCACACAGTTTTAAAAGACATTTTCTGACATAAACAGATGCAGCTTATTGTTTTACTGCTCCCTTTTAGCTAATCACAACAATTGATTGTTAATGATGGTAGGGAAATGGGGTAGTCGTGAGGAATGAGATTTGAAGATTTCTTTCATACCTTAAAGGAGAAACTTTAGTAGGCTGCCAGTAAAAAACGTGTAAATGTTTGACATATCAATCATGTAGTGCAACGTTTCTTAAATGACACCAAATGTCTTGTGGGATTAGTCAAAGCATAAGTTTACAAAGTAAGGTAATCTATGGTATACCACATACAAATTGTGCAACATAGTATAAGAATGCTGTGATATGCCAGTTGCTCGAATTAAAAGACCTTTGGCATTCTACAGATCAGTAGGTTAGTCAACTGGAAACTCTTAACAACGACAAACAGAATGGTGAATTGATTGTGCAGTTTCCCCACTTAATGAGCACTTTGCAAATGTAGGCGCTCGAGCTGCTGACTCCCCCAGTGCCAGCCAACGCAGCGTCTAGAGCCAAGTGTCTGCAGTGTCGAGGATCTGCACTCGCAGCGCTCGGTCTGCACTCAGAGGCTGCAGGGGAATTCCATGCTGCACTCAAGCTGACCCCCGACTGTCAGGAGATACAGCAGGCTTTAGCTGAACTGCAGACTGAAGAGAGCCAAGATGGGTGCACAAGGTTTTAATAAAGTGAAAAGTAGTGAACATTATTTTGGTTTCATTGAATGATCAGGTGGATTAAACTGAATTGTTACAAGGTAAATTATATTTCTCAATTAGTTTCCTAAAAACTCCTAAGCATATATGTGTGTGTCCGTTAGCACGATAACTCGAGCAAAAATGTTCTGATTTTGATGAAATTTGGTACAAACGTGTAAACCTAAGTTTATTCAAACAAGTTCATGAACCAGCATAATCGGACTATGGGAACGAGGGTTTATGGTAGGGTTTTTTTTTGGTAAAAATTGGTTTTCCCATTTCTGACTCTAAAACATAAAATTTTACGATTTCTTCCGAATCATTTTGTAGAGGGAAAAAAAGAAATAATTTAGTATATTGAAGTGTATGCCTAACGATTACGAAGATAATTAAAAAATATTTTAATTTTTGTTATTCTCATGGAGAATAAGTTAACTGTTAAAGTTTGCTAGTCTATGGATATATTTTTAAATCAAATTTGACAATTTTGTTTATTTCATACTTTATTTCAACATGTCAATAAAAAAAAAAACACACCTCAAACACACGTAGCAGCAAACCCAAGTATGTTACTCGTTAAAATTAATGTTTTCTAAACAGGATATAAATCTGGAACTTTTAAGGGAATATTTTAGTAGAAATCCAGCCTGGTATATGGAAATTCACTCAATCTGTAGGTTTGCTGTGGCGGGGGCATTTTCATTATTCTATTCACCACCTCAGCTTATAGATACAGTAGGATCCTCCAAATCGAAGCTACGAGTAGGGTAACTAACGCTTGAGATATCTGATACACCCTTATATTCTCGGGCAGTCAAATAAGTCTCAAAATGAGTCACTACCGTATCCATGTGGTAATAACAGCTATCATGTTGTTATAGATTTTACCCAAACCGCCACGTTAATTTTCTCTATCCCAAGCGTGATGTAAACAACTTCTTTACTTCACTTGGTGAAGTAAAGTTTCAAAAACTCACTCGGTGAAGTAAAGAAACCCATTCAAATAGCATCGAGTGCTCAACTTAATAAATATATACCTCTATGGAGCCAACTACGTTCAACGCTAGAAATCAGCTGGGTGCTTATGTTATTGTTATGCTTTAAAGTATTTTCCTAACCTAGCTTTTGTGAGTGAAACGGATAATGAAAAATATTTTACGTAACGCCCTGTATATTGTCGGGTCAGGTAAAATATTGTACGTTATAGGTTACGCAAGAGCGTGTTTACATCGCTTAGGTGAATTATGCATCTCAATTCCGCTTGTTGCACAACACTCACCTGCGTGATGTCTTACTACACTACACTTGTAACGTAAATAGCTATATTATGTTTTTACTTTTTACTGTTTTAGTCACATGTTTTATTTTGACTAATACTTGCTATTAATGATTAACAATTAAAAATGTCATATGGTTAAATAAAATATAATTTTTGTTTACGTTTATCAAAGAGTTATTTTATTATCCAAGAACTTTAACTACCTATTCATTTTGAACATAGGTGCCGAAAACTCTTAGAAATCAACAAAATGTAAGTAAAGGAATGTTACAAGGTCCAAAGCAAAAATATCACTTCTAAAAGCACAAGATGGTGAAGATAGATCCAGTGGCAAGTCAGTTCCTAAGGCTAACAAAGTCGCGGCGACAATGAATGAAAGTGCGTAGCATTAAACTAAATGGACGCGGCCACACTTAGCGACTCGTGACCACCGGCGACAGAAAAATAAACGCGACCGGGAGCGTTTTTTCATCACATGTTAACTTGTGTCCTGTATGAGATTTAACTCTTCTGGTATAACAGGAATCCAAAACCTCGTGTCTTTTTCAAGTGTCTTGTGTCGTCTTCAATGTCAATAGCTCGCCAAAGCTATGCTCAAACAAACAACAACAAACAACCAAAATCCACTTATTGTAGCTTGCTTCGTCAGGTAGACATTTAGTTCACATACACTTGATGAAACGTACACGAAGACACATACGGACAAATAAAATACATTTAAAGTAGGCCTACCGATTTGTACAACATTGCCGCGACCACGAGCAGGAACAGACTGCGAGGAGGTTCCAGTAGAATTATCTGCTCCTTTGTCTTCCTTATCAGAGTGCGGTGGTCAGCTGATGTAGATACGTTGTTTTTATTTTGGAGCAAGGCGTTAAAAATATAATTTGACTGGAACTGGGATTTTTTGTTCAGGATGTAATTGTTCAAATCCTGTTTTTTAAGATGTTTTAATTTTGGAAACTACAGACGAGGTAATAACCTTCACCTTATTCTATTCTAAATAAGTTTCGGGGCTACAACAATGGATTTTAACTACTTTTAAATCTAACGTCTTTCATGTGCTGACAAAATTGGTCTTCAACTTGTGTTGCGGAGTATCAACTGATTGTAAAAACTTAGTTTTCTGTTGACAATTTCATGAGGAGTTTTTTGAATGTTTTTGGTTTTTATAGAGCATAACATTATATTTTCCATTTACTATTGATTAAATCCACTTTGATTTTTTAATTTAGAAAATATTGTAAGTCAGCAATTTATATCTCATAGTGCCTATAACTTATTACAAGGTTATATAGTAATAAACACATTAAATAATGTAACGCAAAACATGTCATCTCAACATTTATTTTTCTGACTGGTTAAAACATAAGTTGATGAAGATGATACATACTTCTACTAGAGTGCAAGTGACCATGTGTACTGTTGTAGCATATTATTCAACTTCTAAGTGATTGTAGAACATTGGTGTAGCTATAAACAGCACTCAGCACCTGTAAGGAGTACCAAGTATGTAAAAGAGAGTAGCAAACAATAAACTAAGAACCAGACAAGTACAAACATGCAGTCATAGGCAGCATCCAGGGCAGCTATAATAAATGGGCCCAATAGGCCAAGGTTCAGGGGCGCAAGAGGTTTTAGGTTTGTTAGGGGCCTAGAGAAAATTTCTCCCACAAAGTAGGTAGAGAGGGGCGCAATCATCACTCAGGCCAATAGCGCATTACATGCAAACCGTGGTCTGGTCATGTGACAGATTCTTGTAAATTTAACTATTCAGTATGGTTGTGATGATAAAAATTTATTTTTTAACTCATATATATAACTAAAAAGAAAATCATAGAAACAAAACAAGAAGGCAGATGGAATATTTAATTTGAAATGGGATCTGTGTTGGGTTAATCTGCTTTCATTTACAATTTACAAAATGTTTTCATCACTTTTTTCATTTGGATGAGTTGATTCACATCAATTTACTATCAAACAAATAGTTAACTATATCAAGCAATAATGCATTTCATAGATCGTACAGTATGCATGAACCAGCTGTTTCAATGCAGTTTTCACTCAAAATGAATGTACAGTAATTGAATTACCCTCTTGTAGAGTGTGCTACTATTAAATGTACTGTTCTCTTCTCTGTTGGTTTTTACTCTGTGATAGTTGATAGGGACTTAACAGGTGCTACGGTTTACATTAAATAATTAAATAACTTACGTCATCAATCCATAAATTGCTGTGGAGTACGCGTTTCAACCATCAGGTCATCCTCAGCTCCACTGTCACTAGGTTGAATTTGCTTCTATGTTGCATTATAGCAACAGCGTCGATATATTAAATAAATAGTCCAAACATATTTTACATTTATCACACATACACGACACGTACGAAACATTTAGATAACAAATACTGTGTAACACAGTGCGCACGGCTGGACGGGCTCAGGTTTGCGGCTACACTGACTTGGTGGTCGGTATCCTACACTGAACTTTGGACCATGACGACATCTTCAGCTGGTTATCATTCTTTTATTGTCCATCAGCCTAATAATGGTGTCATACACTGGATTCGAATCAGAATGTATTTTTTCATTTAATATGTTTTGATTTTGCTTAAAACCCTTGTATATATTCATTTCTTCTAATCTGTCTAGCCGCTGTCCCTTTTTTACCTTTGCTATAATTTCTAAATTATTGCTTATATTTGTGTATGACAATAAAATAATCTATTGGTGGAGATATGTTGATGATGTGTTGTGCTTGTACAGAGGCAATAAGAGACAAACGGCTATCTTTCAAAACTATTTAAATTCCTTGCACAACAACATAACCTTTTCATCTGAAACTGAATCCAATGGCAGTATTAACTATTTAGATTTATCCATATCTAATGTCGATAATAAACACCTCTTCAGAATATACAGGAAACCCACCCAATCAGATCAGATAATTCATGAAACATCTTATCATCCTACTGCACACAAACTTTCAGCTTTTAACTCCATGTTGCACAGATTAATTAATATACCGATGAGCACCCCTGACAGAAACAATGAATTGAACACAATAAAATATATAGCACAACAGAATGGTTATGACCCGTCTATAATTGACAAACTTTACAATAGGCATATGGCTAAACAAACATCTTCAAACTCATCCCAATTAGATAGAAACAAAAAATATGTGTCTGTTAGATACTCAAAGAAAACGGAGCATATTATCGGGAAAACATTCAAAAAACAAAATGTCACCGTATCTTTTAAATCAGAGAACAATTTACAGAGATTATTGGGGAATGCAAATAAATCCATTGGAGAGAATAAATACAAGAATTCAGGTGTATACAGGCTCAATTGTGATAACTGTGACGCATTTTATATCGGACAAACAGGCAGAACTTTTGATTTAAGATTTAAAGAACACGTCAAAGAAGTAGTAAATAATGGGACAGGAACGGGAGCAAAACAGAGTACAAAATCAAAATATGCGGAACACTTAAATATAGAGGGGCATAAATACACAAATATAAACAATAATTTAGAAATTATAGCAAAGGTAAAAAAGGGACAGCGGCTAGACAGATTAGAAGAAATGAATATATACAAGGGTTTTAAGCAAAATCAAAACATCTTAAATGAAAAAATACATTCTGATTCGAATCCAGTGTATGGCACCATTATTAGGCTGATGGACAATAAAAGAATGATAACCAGCTGAAGATGTCGTCATGGTCCAAAGTTCAGTGTAGGATACCGACCACCAAGTCAGTGTAGCCGCAAACCTGAGCCCGTCCAGCCGTGCGCACGGTGTTACACAGTATTTGTTATCTAAATGTTTCGTACGTGTCGTGTATGTGTGATAAATGTAAAATATGTTTGGACTATTTATTTAATATATCGACGCTGTTGCTATAATGCAACATAGAAGCAAATTCAACCTAGTGACAGTGGAGCTGAGGATGACCTGATGGTTGAAACGCGTACTCCACAGCAATTTATGGATTGATGACGTAAGTTATTTAATTATTTGATAACTCAATCCGTTGTGCTACAATCTCAACATTAGGTTTACATTAAGCTTGTGTACAGTATAAGGAATATAAACATTTTTTTATTCCAGCACAATAATTTGTCAGTAGTTTGATTAAACTAAGTTAGTAGATAGAAAGAGCTGGTGAGATCACATGACCCCAGCAGCTCGTGAGATATTTTTTATCTAAAACTGTCAACACAGCTAGTGCAGAAATTGAATATCCATTTCATTGTAATAAGACTATCTTTTTTATGAATCACCTTAGTGTATGACTCCAAACTGAGGTTGTAGAGTCTCCCTGAAGTGAGATGGAGAGGTCTGTTTGCAACAGTCTGCATCGTAATGATGGCTCGTTGTATCTCTCGTGGCTGACTCATCCAGTCACACCAGTATAACGTCTCACGCAATCTATCTGACTACAATCAAAAAGAAATCATCAGGTAAATAAAGTAATAATCACTTTCAGTTTTGAATAATTAAGTCACTTTATAGATGAAACGAGTTTGAAGAAGTTTCCTGGCTATGAATCTTACTATCTTATGAGTCTTACTATGATTGTTACAGCACTTGGTAATTTGTCTAAAAATTAGGTACAGAAAAAAGGTTAAACACGAGTTAAAAGCGAAATCCATTACTACAAATTTATTTCTTAAACTGAGCAAACTCCTTATGCCAAAGTCATTTCCATATCAAAACTAAAAAAAAAAACTATGTATGGTATAATTAAGTTTGATTTTCAAACCATCAAATAGCCATTAAAACCATTAAAAAATGATAAAGGGTGTTGTATAAGCTCAGACTGTTTTCAAAATAAAGTTAGGTACAAAAAAGGAAATGGACTCATTTTTTACAATGTTATGGCAAAGCTAGATTTATTTAAGTCTTTCGTTTTACAGTATCTGATTGCTAAGAACAGTTTTAAAATTACCTCGTTCAGTAGGATTTGGCCACAGAAGTTGTAGAGGGCAGACAAATCAAAGACTCCGGCTATGTGGATACCTCTGTTAACGTACTCTATTGCTGACAAATTTCCGTCCTGTTTACAATTAAAACTGTTGGCCCGAATAATATAATAGGTTACATACCTTTGTCCGTCTTCAGTCTTTAAATAATAGTCTAGAAAAGACAATAGTTTCGGATTAAAGACCCATTTTCAATTCCACATCAAATTAGTCCATAAATCTGATGAAAGTCTTCATCAATACATAAATGCATGGCGACACGTTAAGTTACGGTCTTTGACCCGAAAGTTATTCATGGACTATAATTTAATTAAAGACGGACAAAGTTATGTAATATATTATATTATTTATAATATATAATAGATAAACAATAACTTTTTTGCAAAAATGTTTTTAACGTTTAAGTTCTGTCCTGTTTCACTCTCTCTTCATTTTTGTGTGTTATTTTTACATACTTCCAATTCTAATCAACTCACTTTAATACTTGAAATGGGACCATACAAAATGGCCCTCAAACCTCCTAAGTGAAAAAGTATAATCTTAAAAGGTCTGTCTTATGGAGCATAGTAGTGCTGTGAGGAGAGATGAACTAAAAGGTTTATCGGACGTTTTCAAGTTCAACCATCACCATGGTCTGGTTCTGCTACCATGTTGGCCTAGTTTTAATAGTTAGATTGATTAGAACTTACGGTGTTTGCAATGATAAGCGCTCCAACTGGTACTGCCAGCTGACAGAACATCATCACTAGGAGGTTGAATGTTTGATTGGTCAGTTTTACTAATCTGGATAGTACAGAAACAGAAATACCAGAAAGGTTTATTTTATCTTGTTGTGAGCAGGTAATAACCTAACACCATCTCGGTACAGTAGCATCAAGAATTTTTTTTAAATATAATGAAAAGACAACTTGAGAAATTTACCAATTTATTGTTTGGATATATTTCAAACATTTATTCATCCATACCAAGTTACAATTTTATATATTTTTTTATAAATGTGATTTTTTCACATTACAAAGTAAAACATAAAACTTGGGAAACTTAAGTACTGGTAATTTGAATTAACTTACTTTATTACTCTGTTGTGACGATCGATAACTTCTTTGAATCTGCTTCTCAGAACAGACAAATACACTCTGTCATTTAAAGTCTTTTGGCAGCATTGATTGGAGTCAAAAATCTGATACTGTTCTAAAAATTTGATGTGAAGTTTAGGATTTATTTCGCAAGAATTTTTAGATAGACAAGTTAGACACTGAGGAATTGTGCCAATTGACTCTACCAACCCTTCACCAATCTTCATCCTACGTTGATCCAACAATTGTATATCGATACAGATTATCCTTAGTTCGACTTTCAACTTGAGTACAATAAACACCAGTTGAAGAGACCAGGCAAAAAGCAACAAGGTGTTTAAAACGCACATCATCCCAGAAATAACGGCTGTCACTATGACTGCCGATACAGTCACAAATGATGCAGGTAGCCAACCGAAGGATAAATGGAAACATTCACCAGATTTTTCTACTTCTTGGATGTCCAGCTTAACCAAATGGGGCAAAGGGAGGCAAGCCCAAATCAAAGAGCCAATAACAATTATGCCGACTGCTATCTGAGAAATACGCTGTACAGTTCTATTGTAATCCCTCAAAACTTTAGCATAGGGAGGTTTTAGCTCAGTAATCTCAACCGGTTCTGATAGGAACTTCAGTAAGGAAAATAGACCTTTTCTATCTTTAACAAGGACTGCGTCCATGAAAATAAACATCAAGGCTGGGAAAAGATCGTGAGATCTAAAAATCATTCCCTGATTGAAACTACTTGAACAGTAAATAGTTGATGACAAAATCAAGATATTTGTTACAAATCTGCAGATGAGTAGTTTAAAATTCAATTTTCCAGTTTTGATATTGATAAAAGTGCCACACTGGAAAATTATGGGAAAAAGCTTGATGAAAATAGATTGCTCCATCTCAAGTATCTGAAACACCAATGATTGAAGCATAAAATAATATAAATGTACATCTTTGTGCATTGACAGATTTTTCTGTGTATTTATATGTAAAGTGAAAAAAAATCTCAATCTAAAACCCCTGATATATGTAGTATTTAGTAGGTTTTTAACATACTCTATCAAACTTATTCATTAACTTGTTCTTTTAGGAATATTAAAATTTTTTATTGCAGCACATTTGTCGGTGGTTTAAAAAACTAAGTTATATTTTTTATCTAAAACTGTCAACAGCTTTAATGCAGAAATTGAAAATCCATTTCACTTCAGTAGACTTTGTCTTTTTTATGAATCACCTTAGTGTATGACTCCAAATTGAGATTGTAGAGTCTCCCTGAAGTGAGGTGGAGAGGTCTGTTTATTACATTATTTTTCTTCCGAAATATGTAGGACCGAATAAAACCAAAAACCGGTATCCTCAAAAAACCATCAGAAGTTTTCTATTCCAAAAAATTTTTTTTAGTTGTTACTATTAGCCAAACTGTGGTTAAACGGTTTTCGTTTCACGTTAAAAGTTAGCATAGATAAATTTACTCAGCCAATTAACAGCAGATTTTGACCAAGATAAGCTTATAACGGCAGATAATTCATAGAAAATGAACTTACCATCTCCAGATTTGTCAACTGCAGCTATTGTCACTCTTTCACATTTTATTTCATGAAAATGTTGTCAATATATTTTATTAGTTTAAACATGCCACTTGTTCAAACAACAAAATAAATATGTTTTCCACGAACAAGGAGTACAGTTTAAAACCAACTACCATATAATGATGCAGTTTTCAATTGTCTTTGTGCAATAATGAGAAAATAGAACGCATCTTAAACTCTTTGAACTTGATGATTAACTATTTATGTAAGCTTTTCTTGTAAACTGCTGCTTGTTTTAACACATTTATTGAATTTTAAATGAGCAAAAAGTGACGATGCCATCATTGCAACTACAGGTTAGGCCTTATTATCTTGAAAGACGTGTTAAGCATAATGGCTGACCATTATGTTTAGCGATTTTCAATGTTATGGTTTCTTATATCTGTTGTTTTACAAGTTGAATAACTGATCTGCCTAACGATCATGATGATCCCCTTTCTTAGTTATTTATCTCTCCAACTAGCTTCACTAACTTTTTTATCCATAATTCCCAAAATGTTATCAAAAATTTGAGAAGTCTGTAAAAAGGCACTAAAACAAGGGTGAAAATAATTAAGAAACCAAACAGTAGGGAAGAGATTTTTTCTTCCCTCTATATTTATTTTCACCTCTATACTATTGTTTCTTAATTAAATTCTCCCTTCTTTAGTAGGCCTACCAATGATCTCATCATTGACTAATTGGATACAGAAGTAGACATCCCATTTATATGGACTAGCTGTAGCTAATTTTTCGTTAAAAAAAAACATAGTTGTGTGGGCCAGTCACATTCTGCGCTAGTGTCTAAAATTATATTTCTACCTTATTTTACGTAGTTGACCAAGGTGATGGCTCATAACAGTTGCTGTAGTTCACAATAAGTCATTCCAGTAGTTTCAATTGGTAAAAAAGTTGACGTGTTTTCCTCAGAAATTAGTAATTTCAGGTCAGTGGCTCACATCAACTACGGCAATTTTGAGTAAAAAGCTGGTGACAATATTAACATGGGAATGGTACGTCTACTTATGTACGTATTAAATTTTTTATAACATATTAGAAATTATTATTTTGATACAAATTTACTGAGGATGAAGGGTAAATTAGTATTTTTCTTTAAATTAGTAAAACAAGGTGTCACAGAGTTTGGGTTCAAGCAGGTCAGTCCCAGGTATACTGAGGGTAAGAGACAGATTTGATCATACAGACTGGTTATATAGTAGTATGTTTTCTGTGCTATAGGGCTCGACAAGTTCCTCTCAAGTGATTTAATTCCAATCTGGCACCAGCGCTATGTTCTTTACTTCATTTGGTACTATTCTAGCTGGTACCCAGTTGTCACCCTATGACATAGTAGCCAGTGACGATGTGAAGGGAAATCAACACCCCTGCCAAGTAACAATCATGTTCTGGGAGAAGGGGGTTACCCCTGTATAAAACTCCTTTACATCTAAATTTTAACAAACAATAACTGTAAATACACCATAAAAATTTCAGCTCAATTTGAAACATATTTTTTCTGTACTACAACACTTTTATGCCTTCTTGAATCACCAAGCGTCCAATCCTTTCTTCAGCTTTATAAAAATTGTTTTTCACTAGTAGGTAATTCCGCAAAAAAAGTTACGAGGTCTACGAAGAAGTCAGAGCTTTAGAAGAAGAGGGCTCTGTGAGAAGGAGTGATATTATTGCTATTGACAAGGGGAGAGAATACAGTCTTATTATTGACCCAACAATTTGTCTCAGAGAAACCAAAGTCAGCCAATGGAATTTCAGCAAGAAATGTTAAGATAATACTTATTGTTTCAAGAGGAACGATTCCTAAACAAGTTCAACAATTTTGGAAGAAATTTAATTTGGAAAATCAAATGTTTAATATATTTGACAGCCATAACATTTTCAATTAATATTATAAGAAACCACCTTTACAATAATAATTAATTTAATTATCTTATAAAAAGATAGGGCATTTGCCAGGAATTATTAAGGAAATTGACAGGAAAGCAGGCTTACCTTTAAATAAGTCCATAGAGACACATAACACATCACAAAATTAAAAGTAGAAATTTTCGTGGTCACTGACCACTTTTTCAAGTTTAATATAAATGTACATTATATTAGGATCTCCAGTGGTTGAAAAAGTGGTCAGTGACCACGAAAATTTCTACTTTTAATTTTGTGATGTGTTATGTGTCTCTATGGACTTATTTAAAGGTAAGCCTGCTTTCCTGTCAATTTCCTTAATAATTAATTTAATTAGGTTTGGACAAAATTGTAAAATTATGTGGTATTATTCTTTGTTCTACTGCAGACTCAATATGTAGTAAGATGTTAATTTTAAAAATTGATTTGAACTAGGGGCCTATAGCAGCAATTGCTGCCCTTGTTCTACTGCAGACTCAATGTGTAGTAAGATGTTTTCCTTTGTAATCTGGCCTTTAACCATTCCTTATGCTGTGCACCATTCCTAAATACTCTCCTTCTTAGTTGCGGGTAGAAACAATGTAGTATAGTTCGGCCGCTTAGAAAGCGACCTCCTCTAGCATTGGTTTAGCATTAGCACGCAGGTTGTTTTCTATGCGGCCGAACTATAGCATCCATACCATGTAGCTATGCTCCATGCTATGTAGTCCATGTTCCATTTGTAGTATTACTTCCATTAGAAAATGACTGGATCTTTGATGGCTTGTGGGGCAGAGAAGGGCTAACTTTTTGACACTTCCATCTTCCTTGGTTTAAGCTTTCAAATGAATCCTCAACAGCCATGCTACCTTTATCCTAGCTTGAGATATTTTGTGGGGGCATATTCTACAGAATCAAATAAATAGATTTATATCAAGCAGCTGGTTGAATGCATACTTGGTGGCTAGGCTCTGGCCTAGGCATAGATTGTTTCAATTAAAGTTGCAGTCAAATACCCAGGCACCTAAGGACCCTCTCCATGCCACTGTCATTTCTTTTTGTACATCTCAACAATTTGATTTCACCACTAGCCCCTACACGCTATCCCAATCAACACAAGCTATACCATTCTTTATTAATCCCTTGAAATTAACCTAATAACGTAAGCTTTTACCCTCCCAACTTTTGTAATACTGTACATCACTAACTATAA